CTGCGGGTGCACCAGCCCCCCCCTCCCCCCCCCCCCCCCCCTTTCTCCTCCATTTTTGGGGGGGAGGAGGCGTGGAAGGGGTGGCCGCCGTGAACCACTACAGCCCCACCCTCTGCCCTGTCTCTCCCCTCCCGCGGCTACTGCTGTGGGGGGGAGTTGGCGGGGATGGGGGGTGGGGGAGAGGGGGCAGGCCGCCGTGTGAAGCAGTGCAGGGACTGTTGTGGGTGGGGCAGGGGCTGGAGGAAGGAAGGGGGGAAGGGGGGTGAGATACAAGGGAGCAGCTGATAAGGGGGGTGAGATTAAGGGGGTGGTTGAATTGAGGGTGAGGACTTGGGGGTTGTTAAGAGGGCCGGCCGGCAGTGAGCTGTCACGCTCATGCACGCTCCCCCACCTCCTCTCCTCATCCCTCACTCACCTCCCCCTTTGTAAAGGGGGTTAGTAAGAGGGATGGCCTGCAGTGAGCTGTCATGCTCATGCACGCTCCCCCACCTCCTCTCCTCATCTCTCTCACTAACCTCCTCCTTCGTTCTTATCTCCTCTCACCTTCTCTCTCTCTCTCTCTCTCTCTCTCTCTCTCTCTCTCTCTCTCTCTCTCTCTCTCTCTCTCTCTCTCGCCTCCTCCTCCTCACTTACCTCTGCCGTCTTCCACTGCACCGGGTGTAACCCTTCAAGGGGTGTTCTACACAGGTTTTCTCCTGCAGGAAGTTATGGGGGTATGTCAGAAAATATAATTATATGTTCTATTATATAACTGCCTGTAGGATTTACTGTAGTGTAGCTCCTATTGTTTGGTGGTGCACCTTTGTTCATTTTGCTATATGTACCTGCATCTCCAGCACCAGCAGCACCTCCAGCACCAGCAGCACTTCCAGCACCTCTAGCAGTACCTCTAGTACCTCCAGCACTAGCAGTACCTCCAGGACTAGCAGCTCCAGCACCAGCAGGACCGTACCCTCCACCACCAGGAATGCCTCGCCGAACGATCCACGCACGAATCGCCTGCAGTAAGAGCGTCTCAAGCAGATCAGGCTGCAGTGGCTGTCTAGCTCCAGGACATCCAGCAGAGTCACCCACAGCTGCACCGCCAAAAGGACTCGCAGGACCCCAAGAGTCAGTACCCCCAGACGCAACACCCCAAGAACCAGCACCCCCAGACGCAGCACCCCCAGAACCAGCACCCCCAGTCGCAGCACCCCCAGTCGCAGCACCCCCAGAACCCTCACCCTCTGTCTGAGCACCCCCAAGCTCAGCACCAGCAGTCTCAGCTCCAGAGTCCACAGCAGTAGGCTGCAGAGGCGGCGAAGACGGCCGAGGCGGAAAACCAGGGGGGGGTCTCCAAGCGTGGAGAGCGGCGAGTGGCCGCCGTGTCGTCAGTGGCGGGGTCACCCCCCTCAGCTGGGCCAGGGGAGTCATAAGAGATCTCCAAAGGCTCAACCAAGGGGGGTGGATCTACCTGAGACACACCTGAGGGAGCAGGACCCTGTAGGGGGAGGGGGTCTACCGGGGGGGGGACTGGTACCAAGAAAAGAGGCGCTAGGGGGACCGGGTGGGACGCGTGCGGGTGTAGTAGAATCGTCAAACTCGTCAAAGGTGACGTCCTGGGAGGAGAAGTCTCGACGCGAGCGTGAGTGGTAGAATTGCCACGGCGGGGCGTCGGTGGGGAAGCCAAGGAAGACGCAGCGGAGAGTGCGAGAGGAGAGCTTGCTCGCTTTGGCATCGCGAGCAAGGGAGAGCGCGCCCTAGACCCGAAACACCGACGCATCGCCAACCTTCCCCGTCCACCGGAGTGTGGGCGAGGTCTCTGGCTCAGAGACACAAGGCCAGAGGTTGAGCTGATGCGCTGCGTTTCGGACCGCAAATGGCCACAGAAAATGGGGAGCAGCCGCATGGATCATGGAGGTACGAGAAAACTCCATGATCAAGCCAATGCGACGCTCAGCAATCCCATTTTGTTGAGGAGAGGCTGGAAGCGTGAACGACTGGACGATGCCCTCGTCTCGACAGAACTCCGCAAGGAGGTCAGAAGAGAACTCTCCGCCCCTGTCAGAGTACAGACGTAGGACTGGGAAGTCCCGACTGAACCGCTCGCGCAGCTGGCGATGAGTAGCACGGATCCAGGGGATCAAAACACCGTTGACGTCCACGTTGCGCCGCAAGGGGAAGACAGTGGTGTAACGTATGTAGTCGTCAACAACCAGCATGAAGTAGCGCTTCTGGTCCGTCCCACCGACAGGGGTCGGGTCCCAAACGTCCATGTGGAGAGTCTGCAGAGGAGCAGTGGTCGGAGGAAACTCGGAGGAGTGAGGAGCGGCGCGCTGCCGCCTCTCGACACAGGGAAGGCACGGCGGGGCAGGCGAGCGCGGGAGGGAGGGCAGGGAGCTGGGAAGGCCAGAGACAAGGAGACGGGAGTGCATACTGCGGAGACGCGGTAGGGAGGGCTGACCGAGGCGGTGGTGCCAGAGGAGAGTCTGGTGGGAGTTTACCCAACACGAGCAAGACGCTGCAAGCTGACCAGACGCAGACACCTGACTCGACGCAGCCACCTGACTTGCCTCAGCCACCTGTGCAGACGCAGTGGTCAGTGTGTACAGACTGGACTCAGGCCGTCGAGTGAACGTAGCAAGTTGAAGGCCAGTCCGGGAGCACGTACAGATTGCCACACGCTGCCCTCCAGGAATAAAGGTATCAACCCAGACATCCTGAATGACATCGTTGCTCACCAAGTTCGTCAAGAACGTGGGGAGGTGGAGACCTGACAGAGAACCGGAGGGGACTGCTGGACATAGGAGGACAGTGGAGGCTCGTGCGACTACCGGGCCCCCAGTGGGGTCAGCCAGTGAGACCAGTACCAGTGCAGCAAGTGGTGTGAGTGTGGTGCAGTCACGAAAGAAGCAACGTGACGCGCCTGAGTCAGGTGTGAAAGTGTGCAAGGCCTCAGCTGAGGAAGGACATGTGGCGAGAGATGCACGAGCACCTAAGGCTGTAGCAGACTCACTAGCACCTAGTGCGGAAGCAGACTCACTAGCACCTAGTGCGGTAGCAGACTCACTAGCACCTAGTGCAGCAGCCTCGACAGAACCAGTGACACATCGCTGAGGAAATAACTCACTAAGCACCTGCGGGGAGAAGGTCTCCTGCTGACTCTGCTGCCGCCTCTGTGCAGTACATAGAAAACCAAAGCCTCCACCACCTGGACGGGCTCGCTGAAGAACCCACTCGCGAAGCTGGTGAGGGGTGGGGTCGTCCGGGAGAGGCAGTGTCTGTTGCTGTCCACCTTAGCCGCTGCAATTGCCGTGATAGTGGCCATGACAGGCAGTGACGGCCAGTAGTAGGTCCAGCACCTCCAGCACCAGCAGCACCTCCAGCACTCCCAGTCGCACCTCCAGCACCCCCAGCACCAGCAGCACTCCCAGCACTCCCAGCAGCACCTCCACCAGCAGCAGCAGTAGCACGAGCAGCAGCAGCAGCAGTAGTAGCAGCAGGGCGGCTCGGTGGGGCTGGTGATCGAGGTAGGGCGGCGCGGCTCGGGTTGGGCAGGGCAGCAGGGCGCGACGTGCGGGGCAGCAGAGCGTGACGCGCGGGCTGCAGTAGGGCGCGGCGCGCTGGCTGCAGCAGGGCGCAACGCGCGGGGCAGCAGAGCGCGACGCGCTGGCTGCAGTAGGGCGCGACGCGCTGGCTGCAGCAGGGCGCTATGTGCAGGGCAGCAGGGCGCGACGCGCTGGCTGCAGTAGGGCGCGACGCGCTGGCTGCAGCAGGGCGCGACGCGGAGGGCAGCAGGGCGCGACGCGCTGGCTGCAGTAGGGCGCGACGCACTGGCTGCAGCAGGGCGCGACGCGCAGGGCAGCAGGGCGCGACGCGCAGGGCAGCAGGGCGCGACGTGCTGGCTGCAGCAGAGCGTGACACGCGGAGCAGCAGAGTGCGACGTGCGGGGGGCAGGCAGTGCGAGTAGCTGCAGGGCAGCGCGACACTGTGCGAGCAGGGCCGGACAGCGCAAGGGCGCTTCGGGCCGGAAAGAGCGGAACTATCGGTGGGCCCTAAAAACTTAACAGGTTTCCTGCTCTGATACCATGTCAGAATCACAGTGCAGGAATGAACTAAGTATGAATGAGTTGGGTACAAGTACTAACCCTAAAGTGTTGTACGCCATATAAGCTAACCCACTATACCTGCATAGAGAGAACACAAACATATAGTTTGACACGCCCGGGGGAGCTCGCTGCCCGCGGGCAAAAAAAAATAAAACCCATTCGGGCATGCATCCGGTCAGGGAGGCATCAACCCTAAACACAGGGAGGCATGGTGTTTAGGGTTGATGCCTCCCTCGGATGGCATGCCATCCGATAGGGTTTTAGTTTTTTCTGCCCGGGGCAGCATGTCGTCAGGTCGTCAATGGGTCGTGAAGCCTGACGACCCATTTCCGCTGGGATATTCCTCCACATTTGACGCTCTGCTACAAATATACCTGCACTTCAATCCCATGTACAAAGCAAAATAATACCGTAAACCCTAAAAATATACTTCCTTACGAGTTGATTGAACACCCTAAACACCAATAAAACTGCATAAAAGACTTCCGGAACCACACACCGCCTTCAGTTTGTTTCAAAGTTGAGATATGCTCATAATTTGCCACCATCCTTCAATGCGTAGCTCAGTCCAATCCTCAGATGAAGGTCAGCAAATTCTCCCCACTCATGTCACCCTTAATATACAAATCTACATAGGCCCTATTCCCCTCCCCATCCCATTTGCTGCAGCCACCACCGCCTGTTGTTGGGTCCTTTGGCAGTGCATAACCACCAACCATTTGATTCACCACCTATACAGTCATCCTGGTTACTATACACAGAAGACATTCCTCTTAGTCAGGAGGGCAGAGAGAGATACTCATGGAGGGAAAGAGAAGACGCAGCAGGAGCAGGGAGCTACTGGAAGAAAAGGCACATCCCCATCACACAGGCAACCTGGTTGCCACATGCGAGCATGTCCGCATGCGCCCCTTAGTCAGGGAGGGAGAGGGTGGGAGCAGCAGGAACAGCCAGCTTGAGGAAGGGAAGGCACAGCCCCATTTCACAGATGTCAGGGCGTGGCAGTCGGATCACCACAGGCTCCCCATCCCCCCCCACGTCCACCAGTGCCGTGTCGCCAGGTGTAAACACGCCCTCCCTGACCCCACTGACGTCACTAAGGGGTGCACTGGCGTCATCAGCAGGGGTGGGGGCATTTGTTGCAGCGTGAGCTGCGATCACAGGAAGCAGCACGGAGGGAACGGACGGCAGGGATTCCGACAGGCCACTGCTGCTGACGTGGCGGTTGTGGCCGCTGCTGCTGCTCCCCTCAGCTGCCAGCACAGCCTCGCTGATCGGATCGTCGACCAATCGTGTGACGGCACGTCGCAGCGGGCGCGCCCCGTACGCCCTGTCATACCCCTCCTCACAGATCCGCTCCATGAGTGCTTCGGAAACTTCCAGGTTGATTCCTTTCAGGGCCAAACGGTCAGCCGACTCCTTGACCATCATGTTGGCAATCACTCGAATCTGGAGGGATGGGGGGAAGAGTAGGGGAGAGAGAAGGGGGGAGAGAAGGGGGGAGAGAAGGGGGGAGAGAAGGGGGGAGAGAAGGGGGGAGAGTAGGGGTTGAATGATGAGAGTGCTTTTGAAACTTCCAGGTTGACTGATCTCTTGGCAAGTGCGTCAGTCAATTCCCTCACCATCATGTTGCCAATCACTCGGATTTGGAGGGACGGGGAGAAGGGGTTTCTTGGTTTGTGAGCTTCTGAGAGTTCCAGGTTGATTCCTCTTGATTCAACCTCCTTTATCAAGTCCTCATGCTACTCTCACTTGTTCCCTCTCCAAAGCTCTGAACACCACCCCCTCGTCGATCCAGTCCATCAGCAATTCAACCAATCCTTCTCTTCCCCTTTTCATCAGCCAATCACATGATCTCTCCCTCATCCCATGCTCACCTGCTCCCTCTCCAGAGCTCGGAACACCACCACCTCATCGATGCGGTTCATCAGCTCCGGCCGGAAATGCGCCTTCCAACTCCCCCACCACCATCTCCCTCATTGCTGCATGCTTCCTTCTCAGACGCACACTCTCTCACCTGTTCCCTTTCAAGTGCTCGGAACACAACGACCTCGTCAATCCGGTTCATCAGCTCCGGACGGAAATGCGCCTTCAACTCCTCCATCACCACCTCTTTCATTCCCGCATACCGCCCCACATCCGCCCGCCCCTCTCTCCCCCCATTCCCATCAGCAGCCGCATAATCGCCTGGAGATAGGAAGCCGATGCGGTGTGTGCCGCCTCTTGCAATGGCCTGGGAGCCCACGTTGGAGGTCAGGACTATGAGGGCATTCTTGAAGGACACGTGGCGGCCCTGGATTGGTCAGCAGGGAGGGGGAGGAGAGGAGAAGGAGAGGAGGAAACAGATGAAGCGAGCATTGCTGGGAGTGCCTGTCTGGTGGGTGGAGGTCAGGGCATTAGAGAAAGCCAATGTGCTGGGAGTGCCTGTCTGGTGGGAGTGCCTGTCTGGTGGGAGTGCCTGTCTGGTGGGAGTGCCTGTCTGGTGGGAGTGCCTGTCTGGTGAGAGTCTCCTCTTGCAATGAATGTCCTGAGAGCCCACGTTGGACGCCAGGACTATCACGGCGTTCTTGAATGACACGTGGCGGCCCTGGATTAGTCGAAAGGAAGAGAGGAGAGGAGGGTGAAGGGGTACAGAAAGGGGTGGGTGAGTGGGTGATGGGAGAGATGTGGGGGAACATCGGAGGAAGGCAATGCTGTGGGTAGTGGGTACCATAAGATCTAAGCGTATCTATAGTAACGCAAGGCCCTTGAGCGTTTCTTTTTACCAGTAGATACCCACTGATTGTATATTTTTACCAGCATTTCAGAAACTAGCATATACCAGCATTTGAGGGTATCAAATACCATCAGCCGGCTGCAGTGGATTAAAGAAATCAGCATTTCAAGCTGCTCTCACAACACACAACATTTCAAGATACCTCACGACAAACAACAGCCACCCACCTGTGAGTCAGTCAGCCGCCCATCTTCAAATATCTGCAGCAGGAGATTAAAGACGTCCGGGTGCGCCTTCTCGATCTCGTCCAGGAGAATAAGACAAAACGGCCGCCTGCGGACGGCCTCCGTGAGCTTGCCGCCCTCGCCGTACCCCACGTAGCCGGGCGGCGCTCCAATCAGCTTGCTGGCAGCGTGGCGCTCCATGTACTCGCTCATGTCTAGGCGGATCATGGATTCCTCCTGGAGAAGTAAAATATGGCAGTGTGGGAAAAGTGAGGGAAAATAGACCTGAACTTCCAATCAGCTTGCTGGCAGCGTGGCGCTCCATGTACGCGGACATATCAAGGCGGATCATGGAATCCTTGTGGATAGGGATGCGATGTGGGGCAGGAGTGAGCGAGCTCCTGGAACAAGTGGAGCAATCGAACCCATGCATTCAGTCAGCTTGCTGGCAGCGTGCCCACCCTCACCTACTTGACCGCCCTGTAAACCCCCTTCACCGCACCCCACTGCATTCCACCACTGCAAACGGTGCCCACTCACTGATCCATAGTAGTGAGCGGCTAGCGCCTTGCACAATTCCGTCTTGCCCACCCCAGTGGGTCTCGAGAACAGCAGAGCTGCCACCGGCCTGCCCTCCCTCTTCAACCCTGCTCACTGCACAGCCCTGTAACTAACCCCAATTCACCGCACCCAACCTCTACTCACCGATCCATAGTAATGTGCTGCCAGTGCCTTGCACAATTCGGTCTTCCCCACCCCAGTGGGCCCCGAGAACAGCAGAGCCGCCACCGGCCTTCCCTCCCCCTTTAGCCCCACCCTTGCCCTCTGCACCACCCTCTAACCCCCCTTCACCACACCCCACCACACCCAATAGCTACTCACCGATCCGTAATAATGTGCCACCAGTGCCTTGCACAGTTCCGTCTTCCCCACCCCAGTGGGCCCCGATAACAGCAGAGCAGCAACCGGCCTCCCCTCCCCCTTCAACCCCACCCTTGCTCGCTGCACCGCCCGTGCTATCACCCGCACAGCCGCCCCCTGCCCCACCACGCGCGTCTCTAGCGCCTCTTCCCCACTCTTCCCCGCCCTGTATACCCCCGTCACCGCACCCAACCGTTACTCACCGATCCATAGTAATGTTTTGAGACGTCTCACAACAGCAGCAGAAGGAAGGGGAAATGTCATTCCGTGCTTCTGTAGCCTCTAGCGCCTCTTCCAGGCCTGCCAGGTGCTGCTGATCCGAGTGGGAGAGCTGCTGCAGGGAGATGCCAGTCCAGTGGGCGGCCACTGCTGCTATGTGCTCTGCTGTGATCCGCGTGGGGCTGAAAAGAACATCAAGGCAGGGAAAGAGCAGCAGAAGGAAGGGGAAATGTCATTCCGTGCTTCTGTAGCCTCTAGCGCCTCTTCCAGGCCTGCCAGGTGCTGCTGATCCGAGTGGGAGAGCTGCTGCAGGGAGATGCCAGTCCAGTGGGCGGCCACTGCTGCTATGTGCTCTGCTGTGATCCGCGTGGGGCTGAAAAGAACATCAAGGCAGGGAAAGAGCAGCAGAAGGAAGGGGAAATGTCATTCCGTGCTTCTGTAGCCTCTAGCGCCTCTTCCAGGCCTGCCAGGTGCTGCTGATCCGAGTGGGAGAGCTGCTGCAGGGAGATGCCAGTCCAGTGGGCGGCCACTGCTGCTATGTGCTCTGCTGTGATCCGCGTGGGGCTGAAAAGAACATCAAGGCAGGGAAAGAGCAGCAGAAGGAAGGGGAAATGTCATTCCGTGCTTCTGTAGCCTCTAGCGCCTCTTCCAGGCCTGCCAGGTGCTGCTGATCCGAGTGGGAGAGCTGCTGCAGGGAGATGCCAGTCCAGTGGGCGGCCACTGCTGCTATGTGCTCTGCTGTGATCCGCGTGGGGCTGAAAAGAACATCAAGGCAGGGAAAGAGCAGCAGAAGGAAGGGGAAATGTCATTCCGTGCTTCTGTAGCCTCTAGCGCCTCTTCCAGGCCTGCCAGGTGCTGCTGATCCGAGTGGGAGAGCTGCTGCAGGGAGATGCCAGTCCAGTGGGCGGCCACTGCTGCTATGTGCTCTGCTGTGATCCGCGTGGGGCTGAAAAGAACATCAAGGCAGGGAAAGAGCAGCAGAAGGAAGGGGAAATGTCATTCCGTGCTTCTGTAGCCTCTAGCGCCTCTTCCAGGCCTGCCAGGTGCTGCTGATCCGAGTGGGAGAGCTGCTGCAGGGAGATGCCAGTCCAGTGGGCGGCCACTGCTGCTATGTGCTCTGCTGTGATCCGCGTGGGGCTGAAAAGAACATCAAGGCAGGGAAAGAGCAGCAGAAGGAAGGGGAAATGTCATTCCGTGCTTCTGTAGCCTCTAGCGCCTCTTCCAGGCCTGCCAGGTGCTGCTGATCCGAGTGGGAGAGCTGCTGCAGGGAGATGCCAGTCCAGTGGGCGGCCACTGCTGCTATGTGCTCTGCTGTGATCCGCGTGGGGCTGAAAAGAACATCAAGGCAGGGAAAGAGCAGCAGAAGGAAGGGGAAATGTCATTCCGTGCTTCTGTAGCCTCTAGCGCCTCTTCCAGGCCTGCCAGGTGCTGCTGATCCGAGTGGGAGAGCTGCTGCAGGGAGATGCCAGTCCAGTGGGCGGCCACTGCTGCTATGTGCTCTGCTGTGATCCGCGTGGGGCTGAAAAGAACATCAAGGCAGGGAAAGAGCAGCAGAAGGAAGGGGAAATGTCATTCCGTGCTTCTGTAGCCTCTAGCGCCTCTTCCAGGCCTGCCAGGTGCTGCTGATCCGAGTGGGAGAGCTGCTGCAGGGAGATGCCAGTCCAGTGGGCGGCCACTGCTGCTATGTGCTCTGCTGTGATCCGCGTGGGGCTGAAAAGAACATCAAGGCAGGGAAAGAGCAGCAGAAGGAAGGGGAAATGTCATTCCGTGCTTCTGTAGCCTCTAGCGCCTCTTCCAGGCCTGCCAGGTGCTGCTGATCCGAGTGGGAGAGCTGCTGCAGGGAGATGCCAGTCCAGTGGGCGGCCACTGCTGCTATGTGCTCTGCTGTGATCCGCGTGGGGCTGAAAAGAACATCAAGGCAGGGAAAGAGCAGCAGAAGGAAGGGGAAATGTCATTCCGTGCTTCTGTAGCCTCTAGCGCCTCTTCCAGGCCTGCCAGGTGCTGCTGATCCGAGTGGGAGAGCTGCTGCAGGGAGATGCCAGTCCAGTGGGCGGCCACTGCTGCTATGTGCTCTGCTGTGATCCGCGTGGGGCTGAAAAGAACATCAAGGCAGGGAAAGAGCAGCAGAAGGAAGGGGAAATGTCATTCCGTGCTTCTGTAGCCTCTAGCGCCTCTTCCAGGCCTGCCAGGTGCTGCTGATCCGAGTGGGAGAGCTGCTGCAGGGAGATGCCAGTCCAGTGGGCGGCCACTGCTGCTATGTGCTCTGCTGTGATCCGCGTGGGGCTGAAAAGAACATCAAGGCAGGGAAAGAGCAGCAGAAGGAAGGGGAAATGTCATTCCGTGCTTCTGTAGCCTCTAGCGCCTCTTCCAGGCCTGCCAGGTGCTGCTGATCCGAGTGGGAGAGCTGCTGCAGGGAGATGCCAGTCCAGTGGGCGGCCACTGCTGCTATGTGCTCTGCTGTGATCCGCGTGGGGCTGAAAAGAACATCAAGGCAGGGAAAGAGCAGCAGAAGGAAGGGGAAATGTCATTCCGTGCTTCTGTAGCCTCTAGCGCCTCTTCCAGGCCTGCCAGGTGCTGCTGATCCGAGTGGGAGAGCTGCTGCAGGGAGATGCCAGTCCAGTGGGCGGCCACTGCTGCTATGTGCTCTGCTGTGATCCGCGTGGGGCTGAAAAGAACATCAAGGCAGGGAAAGAGCAGCAGAAGGAAGGGGAAATGTCATTCCGTGCTTCTGTAGCCTCTAGCGCCTCTTCCAGGCCTGCCAGGTGCTGCTGATCCGAGTGGGAGAGCTGCTGCAGGGAGATGCCAGTCCAGTGGGCGGCCACTGCTGCTATGTGCTCTGCTGTGATCCGCGTGGGGCTGAAAAGAACATCAAGGCAGGGAAAGAGCAGCAGAAGGAAGGGGAAATGTCATTCCGTGCTTCTGTAGCCTCTAGCGCCTCTTCCAGGCCTGCCAGGTGCTGCTGATCCGAGTGGGAGAGCTGCTGCAGGGAGATGCCAGTCCAGTGGGCGGCCACTGCTGCTATGTGCTCTGCTGTGATCCGCGTGGGGCTGAAAAGAACATCAAGGCAGGGAAAGAGCAGCAGAAGGAAGGGGAAATGTCATTCCGTGCTTCTGTAGCCTCTAGCGCCTCTTCCAGGCCTGCCAGGTGCTGCTGATCCGAGTGGGAGAGCTGCTGCAGGGAGATGCCAGTCCAGTGGGCGGCCACTGCTGCTATGTGCTCTGCTGTGATCCGCGTGGGGCTGAAAAGAACATCAAGGCAGGGAAAGAGCAGCAGAAGGAAGGGGAAATGTCATTCCGTGCTTCTGTAGCCTCTAGCGCCTCTTCCAGGCCTGCCAGGTGCTGCTGATCCGAGTGGGAGAGCTGCTGCAGGGAGATGCCAGTCCAGTGGGCGGCCACTGCTGCTATGTGCTCTGCTGTGATCCGCGTGGGGCTGAAAAGAACATCAAGGCAGGGAAAGAGCAGCAGAAGGAAGGGGAAATGTCATTCCGTGCTTCTGTAGCCTCTAGCGCCTCTTCCAGGCCTGCCAGGTGCTGCTGATCCGAGTGGGAGAGCTGCTGCAGGGAGATGCCAGTCCAGTGGGCGGCCACTGCTGCTATGTGCTCTGCTGTGATCCGCGTGGGGCTGAAAAGAACATCAAGGCAGGGAAAGAGCAGCAGAAGGAAGGGGAAATGTCATTCCGTGCTTCTGTAGCCTCTAGCGCCTCTTCCAGGCCTGCCAGGTGCTGCTGATCCGAGTGGGAGAGCTGCTGCAGGGAGATGCCAGTCCAGTGGGCGGCCACTGCTGCTATGTGCTCTGCTGTGATCCGCGTGGGGCTGAAAAGAACATCAAGGCAGGGAAAGAGCAGCAGAAGGAAGGGGAAATGTCATTCCGTGCTTCTGTAGCCTCTAGCGCCTCTTCCAGGCCTGCCAGGTGCTGCTGATCCGAGTGGGAGAGCTGCTGCAGGGAGATGCCAGTCCAGTGGGCGGCCACTGCTGCTATGTGCTCTGCTGTGATCCGCGTGGGGCTGAAAAGAACATCAAGGCAGGGAAAGAGCAGCAGAAGGAAGGGGAAATGTCATTCCGTGCTTCTGTAGCCTCTAGCGCCTCTTCCAGGCCTGCCAGGTGCTGCTGATCCGAGTGGGAGAGCTGCTGCAGGGAGATGCCAGTCCAGTGGGCGGCCACTGCTGCTATGTGCTCTGCTGTGATCCGCGTGGGGCTGAAAAGAACATCAAGGCAGGGAAAGAGCAGCAGAAGGAAGGGGAAATGTCATTCCGTGCTTCTGTAGCCTCTAGCGCCTCTTCCAGGCCTGCCAGGTGCTGCTGATCCGAGTGGGAGAGCTGCTGCAGGGAGATGCCAGTCCAGTGGGCGGCCACTGCTGCTATGTGCTCTGCTGTGATCCGCGTGGGGCTGAAAAGAACATCAAGGCAGGGAAAGAGCAGCAGAAGGAAGGGGAAATGTCATTCCGTGCTTCTGTAGCCTCTAGCGCCTCTTCCAGGCCTGCCAGGTGCTGCTGATCCGAGTGGGAGAGCTGCTGCAGGGAGATGCCAGTCCAGTGGGCGGCCACTGCTGCTATGTGCTCTGCTGTGATCCGCGTGGGGCTGAAAAGAACATCAAGGCAGGGAAAGAGCAGCAGAAGGAAGGGGAAATGTCATTCCGTGCTTCTGTAGCCTCTAGCGCCTCTTCCAGGCCTGCCAGGTGCTGCTGATCCGAGTGGGAGAGCTGCTGCAGGGAGATGCCAGTCCAGTGGGCGGCCACTGCTGCTATGTGCTCTGCTGTGATCCGCGTGGGGCTGAAAAGAACATCAAGGCAGGGAAAGAGCAGCAGAAGGAAGGGGAAATGTCATTCCGTGCTTCTGTAGCCTCTAGCGCCTCTTCCAGGCCTGCCAGGTGCTGCTGATCCGAGTGGGAGAGCTGCTGCAGGGAGATGCCAGTCCAGTGGGCGGCCACTGCTGCTATGTGCTCTGCTGTGATCCGCGTGGGGCTGAAAAGAACATCAAGGCAGGGAAAGAGCAGCAGAAGGAAGGGGAAATGTCATTCCGTGCTTCTGTAGCCTCTAGCGCCTCTTCCAGGCCTGCCAGGTGCTGCTGATCCGAGTGGGAGAGCTGCTGCAGGGAGATGCCAGTCCAGTGGGCGGCCACTGCTGCTATGTGCTCTGCTGTGATCCGCGTGGGGCTGAAAAGAACATCAAGGCAGGGAAAGAGCAGCAGAAGGAAGGGGAAATGTCATTCCGTGCTTCTGTAGCCTCTAGCGCCTCTTCCAGGCCTGCCAGGTGCTGCTGATCCGAGTGGGAGAGCTGCTGCAGGGAGATGCCAGTCCAGTGGGCGGCCACTGCTGCTATGTGCTCTGCTGTGATCCGCGTGGGGCTGAAAAGAACATCAAGGCAGGGAAAGAGCAGCAGAAGGAAGGGGAAATGTCATTCCGTGCTTCTGTAGCCTCTAGCGCCTCTTCCAGGCCTGCCAGGTGCTGCTGATCCGAGTGGGAGAGCTGCTGCAGGGAGATGCCAGTCCAGTGGGCGGCCACTGCTGCTATGTGCTCTGCTGTGATCCGCGTGGGGCTGAAAAGAACATCAAGGCAGGGAAAGAGCAGCAGAAGGAAGGGGAAATGTCATTCCGTGCTTCTGTAGCCTCTAGCGCCTCTTCCAGGCCTGCCAGGTGCTGCTGATCCGAGTGGGAGAGCTGCTGCAGGGAGATGCCAGTCCAGTGGGCGGCCACTGCTGCTATGTGCTCTGCTGTGATCCGCGTGGGGCTGAAAAGAACATCAAGGCAGGGAAAGAGCAGCAGAAGGAAGGGGAAATGTCATTCCGTGCTTCTGTAGCCTCTAGCGCCTCTTCCAGGCCTGCCAGGTGCTGCTGATCCGAGTGGGAGAGCTGCTGCAGGGAGAGAGCAGCAGAAGGAAGGGGAAATGTCATTCCGTGCTTCTGTAGCCTCTAGCGCCTCTTCCAGGCCTGCCAGGTGCTGCTGATCCGAGTGGGAGAGCTGCTGCAGGGAGATGCCAGTCCAGTGGGCGGCCACTGCTGCTATGTGCTCTGCTGTGATCCGCGTGGGGCTGAAAAGAACATCAAGGCAGGGAAAGAGCAGCAGAAGGAAGGGGAAATGTCATTCCGTGCTTCTGTAGCCTCTAGCGCCTCTTCTAGGCCTGTCAGGTGCTGCTGGTCGGAGAGGGAGAGCTGCTGCAGGGGGATACCAGTCCAGTGGGCGGCCACTGCTGCTATGTGCTCTGCTGTGATCTGCACAGGACTGGTAGAAGGGGGGAGGACGAAGCGGGAAGAGCTATGTGAAGCAAGAGGGGATTAAAGAAGAATGCCGGTCCAGTGGGAGGCCACTGCTGCTCTGTGCTCTGCTGTGATCTGCGTGGGGATGGTAACCCAAGGAGACAGCAGCAGAAGGGGAATAACAGAAGAAAGGAGACGAGAGATGAGGCAGGAAGAGATTAGAGGGAATGGCGATCCAGTGAGACGCGACTGCTGCTATGTTCTCTGCTGTGATCTCAATGGTGCTGAATGTAAACAGGGAAATGTGGGTTGTTTTGTTTGTGAGATCACACAATGGAAGAGGGGTAAAGCCCACCTGTCTTTTCTGCTCAGCTGCAGGTGGGTCAACCTAATAGAGCAACCAGCAGAAGTGGCAACGGCATGAACAGCGGTGGTGGTGTTGGCGTGGGTGTGGCGTGCGTGTGCGTGAGAGTAAGAAAATGGAACTCACCCCTCCTCCTTGTCACTGCCAGTGATGCCACTTTTGGAACGACCAGCAGCAGCGGCGGCGTCAGCAGCAGTTGTAGTGTCGGCAGGAACGTGGTCTTGGGAGAGGAATGAGGTGAGCGAGGTGAAGGGATTCTGGCGTGCATGGGCCTGTAAGGGGAGGGAGAATCGAAGGAAGAGAGAGACAGAGGAGGGAGAACCGAAGGAAGAGAGAGACAGTCGAGGGAGGGAGTGGGGGGAGGGTGGCAGTAGACAAACGGGCAGGGGGAATGAGTTGCAGCAACAGCATCAGCACCTTCAGCAGCGGTGGTGGTGTTGGGGTGAGTGAGGTGGTCGTGAGAGAGGAAGGAGGTGAGCGAGGTGAAGGGGTTCTGGCGAGCATGGGCCTGTAACGGGAGGGATAATCGGGACAAATCAGGAAAAATCTGATAAAACCAGAGAACATCTGATAACACCGGAGAAAAAGATACAAAATACAGAGATAACTGAAACGAATCCTCACAAGCAAAATCTCACCCACCGTATATCCATCCACACCTCATTCAACCAAACCTCACCGCTTCGTGTGCAGCCTGCGCCATCCTGATTTCCCGCCAGTACTCCTCCGCGCCCCTCTCCAGAACCCCACTCGCCCTCCTCCTCCTCCCCTTACTGCCCTCCACCCTGCTCCTACTAGCCGCCTCGTCTATCAGGTCAATTGCCTTGTCAGGCAGGCAGCGGTCGGGGATGAAGCGAGCAGAGAGGGTGACGGCTGCTGCCAGAGCGGAGTCGGAGAGAACACACTTGTGGTGAGCCTCATATAGGTGCCTCAGACCGTGTAGGATTTCTAAGGCAGCTTCCTGAAAGGGGGTAGGCGGGCAGAGAGGGAAGGTACAGAAGGCACAAGAGGTGGTACTGTGAGTCACGCTCCTCCTGGCCGCGACGTCTATCAGGTCAATTGCCTTGTCGGGCAGGCAGCGGTCGGGGATGAAGCGAGCAGAGAGGGTGACGGCTGCTGCTAAAGCATCGTCCGTGAGAGTGCACTTGTGGTGGGCCTCGTACAGGTGCCTTAGCCCGTATAGAATCGCCAGAGCGGCTTCCTGTGAGGAATGAGGGGGGAGGGAAGAGGGGGGGCGAAGGGACGGGGCTGGTACTGTGAGTTGAAGCCTCGCCGCCTCGTCTATCAGGTCAATGGCCTTGTAGGGCAGGCAGCGATCGGGGATGAAGCGAGCAGAGAGGGTGACTGCTGCTGCCAGAGCGGAGTCACTGAGAGTGCACTTGTGGTGTGCTTCATACAGGTGGCGCAGGCCCTGCAAGATGTCCAAGGCGGCTTCCTGAAAGGGGGGAAGCGGGTAGAGAGGTAAGGGAAAGAAGGCACAAGGGGTGGTACTGTGAGTCACGCTCCTACTGGCCGCCTCGTCGATCAGGTCAATGGCCTTGTCGGGGAGACAGCGATCGGGGATGAAGCGTGAGGAGAGAGTGACGGGGAGGGAGAGAGAGGGGGGAGGGAGAGGGGGAAAGAAGGGACGGGGGTGGCACTGTGAGTGGAAGCCTCCTCCTGCTGGCCGCCTCGTCGATCAGGTCAATGGCCTTGTCGGGCAGGCAGCGGTTGGGGATGAAACGCGAGGAGAGATTTACTGCTGCTGCCAGAGCATGTCAGAGATGGCACACTTGTGGTGTGCCTCGTATAGGTGTCTCAGACCGTGTAGAAGGGGTGAGGAAGGGACGGGAGGGAGAGGAACAGGACATGAGGGGCAGAGGGTTTCAGTGGTGCTTCAACTCGCCGCCTCGTCGATCAGGTCAACGGCCTTGTTAGGGAGGCAGCGGTCGGGAATGAAGCGAGCAGAGAGGATCACAGCTGCTGCCGGGGCGAAATCTGTTAGCACACAAACGGTCTTCCTGAAACTCATGGAAGAATTTTCAAAGAAGTTTCGATCCAATGAGCTCCATTTTAGACTTCAGGCTCGAGCTTTACGGATCGACCCAAGCTAGCTGAAGTCACCCGGCTAGTACACGGAGAAGCCTAAGGCATGCAACAGCTTAGAGTATAGATTAACGAGTCAGATAGAGTGGATTGGGTAGAGTTTGTGAGGAGTGAGCTGTTGTGTGTCGTAGACTACCCAATCCACCCCACCTGACTCGTTAATCTATATTCTACGCTGCTACATGCCTTAGGCTTCTCCGTGTACTAACTGAGTGACTTCAGGTGGCTTGGGTTGCTCCGTAGTGCTAGAGCCTGAAGTCTCAAATGAAGCTCACTGGATCAGAGTTCTTTGAGAATCCTTCCGTGAGAGGGTCCCCTTACTGCCTTCCTCTCTGCTCCTACTGGCCGCCTCGTCCATCAGGTTAATGGCCTTGTCAGGGCGGAATCGGTGAGAGTGCACTCGTGGTGTGCGTCGTACAGGTGGCGCAGGCCCGTGTAGTATTTGAATAGCGGATTAATGAGAGGGGGGAAACGGAAAGGGGGGAAAGGGAGGGAGAGGAACAAGACATGGAGAAGGAAGGGTGGAATCGGTGAAAACGCACTTGTGGTGTGTCTCGTACAGGTGGTGCAGGCGTAGTAGGATCGTAAGGGTGGCTTCTCAGGGAAGAGGGGGGACAGAACATGTTTTTTGGGCTTGTTAATGCTGCTGCCAGGGCGGCATCGGTGAGAATGAACCTGTGGTGTGGCTCGTACAGGTGTTTCAAAGCGTGTAGAATGTCTAAGGCGGCTTCCTGGGAGGGGGGTCGAACATGCAGAGCATGTAAGATTCACCCATACCAGACCATGTACCAACTCATCCTATCCCCTTTATAAGATGCAACCCCCCTCTCTCACCTCTGAGGGCTCGTCCTCAGTGACCGGCTGAAAGCGCCGAGCCAATGCCTTGTCCTTCTCCCCATTACCGTATCGAAATATTACCACATCCGAGTGATAAGATGGAACCCCTCTCACCTCTGAGGGCTCGTCCACTGTCACTGGCTGAAAGCGCCGCCAGAGCCTCGTCCTTCTCGCCCATACCATAGCACAAAAAGTCCCATCTCATCCGCGTTATAAGAGCCTCCCTCTCACCTCTGAGGGCTCGTCCACTGTCACCAGCTGAAAGCGCCTGGCCAGAGCCTTGTCCTTCTACTTATAAAACACATCATCCCATCCCGTTATTAGATTGCTCACCTCCGAGGGTTCGTCCACAGTCACTGACTGAAAGCGCCAGACCAGAGCCTTGTCCTTCTCGAGCCTACCAAAGCACACAACATCCCATCCCCATTATAAGATCACTCACCTCTGAAGGCTCGTCCACCGTCACCGGCTGAAACCGCCGAGCCAATGCCTTGTCCTTCTCGAGGTGCTTGCGGAACTCATTGGTGGTGGTGGTGGCGATGCACTGATGTTATGGGGGGGGGAAAGAAGGGAAGGGAAGGGAAGGGTGGGGTAAAGGCGGAGAGCAGTAAGCACCAGACGTTGAGCCAGAGCCTTGCCCTTCTCGAGGTGCTTGCGGAACTCGCTGGTGGTTGTGGTGGCGATGCACTGATGTTATGGGGAGAAGAAGTGACGGTGGGGAGAAGGGGAGGGAGACCGGGAAGGGTGGGGGGAGGAAGGAGAGCGGAGGGGGAAGAGGGAGGAGCGGGATGGGATAAGGCACTTGATTGATGCAAGGCCAAAGCCTTGTTCTTTTCCAGTCGCTTGCCAACAACTTGAGGGTCAGGGTCATTCTTTTCTCGAGGTAATGTTGAAAACCAGCACCACTTGTGTAAACTACATCACCGCATTCCACCACATTCCAGTGCATTCCATCCATACTCTCTCCTGACTGTTCACCGCACTCAACCGCTCTCTGCCTCACCTGAATCTGACCGCGTGATAAGGCAGGCTTGAGCAGATTCGAAATATCCAGTCCCGAACCCCCACCATCTCGCCCCCTCCCCACGGCCCCTGCGCCCACCATCGTATGCACCTCATCTATCACCAGCACCACCTCCCCTGCTGATGCCACCGCCTCTGCCACCAAAGTGGTCACTCTCAGCTCTAACTCCCCCCTCTCCTTTGCTCCTGCCATCACCCTCCCCATGTCCAGAGACAAGAGGCGCTTGCCCTGTTGTCAAAATGAGTGGGAGGAGAGAAAAAGAGACCGTTGTGAGGAACATCTCACCACCATCGTATGCACCTCATCTATCACCAGCACCACCTCCCCCGCTGCTGCCACCGCCTCTGCCACCAAAGTGGTCACTCGTAGCTCTAATTCGCCTCTCTCCTTGGCTCCTGCCATCACCCTCCCCATGTCCGGAGACAAGAGGCGCTTGCCCTGTTGGGGTTACGCAGGAAAGGGAGGGAAGCTGGGAACCTTGTGACCCTCAGTCCTAGCTCGCCCCACTCCTTTGCTCCTGCCATCACCCTCCCAATGTCCGGAGGCAAGAGGCGCTTGCCCTGTTAAGGTTAGGGAAGCAGGGAGTTGTCTGGGCCAATCGTGTGACTCTCAGCTCCAGCTCCCCTCTCTGAAAACAAAACGGATTGGGCGCCTCAGAAGTCTCATCATGTGATTCTCAGCTCCAGATCCCCTCAGCTCCAGCTCCCCTCTCTGAGGAGAAAAAACGGATTATTTTAAGTGCCACAGAAATCGTCTCATTTTGAGGCGCCTCGAAAAGGGAGAGGAGCAGTGGGTATCTAACACAAGAAAGGGAGAGACCCACCGATCTCTGCTAACCCAACAATGTTGCATCCTACTCTGCAATCATCAGTGGTATACCGTGACCCTGCTACCCCGTTCCCAACCAGCAAAAGCAGAAACGGCCTACAAGTCGCTCAGTTGCAAAACTGATGGCACATCGTTCTCGGCAATCCTCAGCGCCGGCCCCTCTGCTATGGCCGTCTTGCCCACGCCCTCTGCCGTGGTGTGGACCCCCACATCCCATCCCATCACAACACCACCTCACTTGCAAAAATGATGGCACATCGTTCTCAGCAATCCTCAGCGCCAGCCCCTCTGCTATGGCCGTCTTGCCCACTCCCGGCTCGCCCAGCAGCAGAGGGTTGTTCTTGGTGCGACGAGCAAGGATCTGAGGGGGGGAAGGAACAAGCGAGGAGGAGGGTGGAAAAGAGGGGGGAATGGTTGGGTAGGAAGCAGGGATATGGCCGTCTTGCCCACCCTCTGGCCCGCCCAGCAGCAGAGGGTTGTTCTTGGTGCGACGAGCAAGGATCTGATCTGAGGGGGGAAGGTGGAGAGGGTAAGACAAGGATAGGTGGACCAAGAATGGGAGAGTTTCAAGGTGAGAAACGGGGTGAAACGGTCGTGTAGGAGAGAGGGCTATGGCTGGGCGTCTTGCCCACCCCCGGCTCGCCCAGCAGAGGGTTGTTCTTGGTGCGACGAGCGAGGATCTGAGGAATTATAGGAGGAATGAGAGGGTGCGAGGGGTAAGGACAGAAGGGCGGGGAGCGGGAGAGTGGGAGTGTGCAAGAGAGAGGGACAAGGCCGTCTTGCCCGCCCCTGGCTCGCCCAGCAGCAAAGGGTTGTTCTTGGTGCGACGGGTGAGAATCTGAGGGGGATGAGAAGGGGAGTAAGGAGCGGTGAGGAGGAGAGGGAGGGACAAAGTGTTGAATCAAGGATGCAGACGTCTCCTCCGCCCACCCCTGGCTCTCTTAGCAGCAGCGGGTTGTTCTTGGTGCGAGAGCGAGAGAGGAGTTAGCCCTGTGACCTCTGCCCTCTGCCCTCTGTTTCTCCCACTATATAAGGGCCTTTAAAACACTCGTGTTAGAATTCACAAGGACGTCAAAGAGACAAATTTCGTTGTTCAAGAGTTATTGACACTCTTGCTTGTTCTCCGAGAGCTCCTCTCCTCCATATCTATTGCCTTTCTCGAGAGTCTCCCGAATCCGCTCTTCAAAGTGCCATAAAATTAGCAGAATGAGTGACCAGCAGCAATCACAGCTATTGCATCACCACTGCTCTTCGCGATGCACCAACCGTGAATGATACTGGTCACCCATTCTGCTACCTTTTATGGTACGCTGAATAGCAGAATCGAGAGACTTTCGAGAGAACCAAGGCATATGGAGAAGAGAGGATTTTGGGGAATACGCAACAGTGCTAGCCAACTCAGGAGCGATCTCACCCTGCAACGCAATGCTTGTTCGGTGTGCACACCCAGCATCACCAGTCACATCTCAACACAAACACGCAAGTGCACCACCCTAGCAACCCCCTCGTCTCGGCTAATCACGGGGTCAAGCTCTCTTACCCTGCCATGGCCGTTAGATGCGACCACCGACCCACTATCCCCGTTACAGTCACATCTCAGCACAAGCACTCACCTGCACCACCCTCGCGACCTCCGCCTCTCGGCCAATCACGGGGTCGATCTCCCCCTGCACTGCCATGGCTGTTAAATCCGTGCAGAACTTCTCCAACGCGCTCTGCTGCTCTGCTGATAGAAGGTGGGGTAGGTTAGGGTGGGGTAGGGTGGGTTGGGGTAGGGTGGGTTGGGGTAGGGTGAAAAGGGTGAAACCCATCTTGCCCTGCACCGCCATGGCTTTTAGGTCCGTGCAGAACTGCCCCAACGCACTCTGCTGCGCTGCTGCGTGTGTGGGGAGGAGGATGGAAGGAGAAAAGGGGGAGAAAGTGGGGGGGAGGATAAGAGTCCTCGTCATCCCTCCCTGCACCGCCATGGCCGTTAGATCCGTGCACAACTGCCCCAACGCGCTCTGCTGCGCTGCTGCTTGGTCGGGAGGAAGAGGGGGGGTAGGGAGGAGGGGCGATGGAAAGGAGTGAAGCAGTGGAGTGGAGTCCTCATAAAAGGTCAGTCTCTCCATGCACAGCCATGTCCGTTACATCCCTGCACAACTGCTCAGTGCTCACTAAGGAGGAGCATCAAACCACCGCCCCGCGCGCACTGGCGAGCTGGGACCCTTGCTGCTAGCGGGACTGCTACTAGTAGGGCTGGTGGAGGGCCGAGACGATAGGGCAGCAGCAAGCCCCCCACCCCACCCCACCACACAGCAAGCCGCTCATACCTTTCTTCCCACGTCCCTTGCGCACTGGCGAACTGGGACCCTTGCTGCTAGTAGGACTGGTGGGGCTGGTGGCGGGCCGTGAGGAGGGGTTGGTGATCGATTCCGAGGAGCGCCCATCCCGGTCCAGCTCGCCCTTGAGGCGCGCCAACGCTGCCTCCTGCAGACGGTGCTGCTGCACGCCCAGGCTGAAAGTCAAAGCAGTCAACGCAGTCAACACAGAGAGTCAACGCAGTCAACAGGGGAGAGAGAGGGGGTTAGAGGAGCGCTCGTCTCGGTCCAGCTCGCCCTTGAGGCGTGCCAGCGCTGCCTCGTGCAAGCGGTGCTGCTGCACTCCCAGGCTGCCAGCAAGTCAACGCAGTCAAGGCAGTCAAGGCAGTCAAGGCAGTCAACACAGTCAACAGAGAGGAGAGGGACAGATGGAGAGGGATTAAAATGAGGGAATGTGAGACACTACCGTTAACTGCTGCAGGCGATGCTGTTCAGATGACTTTTTTCTCACCCTACAGTCTAGAAATTTCCTCTCACCGTGCCATTACCAGCGCCACCCCCCCCTGCTCCACTTGAACCAGCGTCACCTCCTAATGCTCCGGCCAGTGGGATGAAGTTGTAACGATGCTTCCCCATTAGACATGGACAGTTTCGCCAATTGTTTGCAGATTATGGCACGTACTGTCTTACAGCCGAGCGCTCTCACCTTGCCATCACTAACACAGCTCCCTCTTGCTCCACCTGCACCAGCGCCACCTCCTGATGCTCCGGCCGGCGCGATGAACTTGTGACGATGCTTCCCCATTAGACATGGACAATTTCCCCTTTCGTTTGCAAAATGCGGCTCTACCGTCTTACAGCCAAACGCTCTCACCTCGCCATCACCAGCGCCGCTCCTTCTTGCTCCACCTGCACCAGCGCGACTGCCAGATGCGCGTGTTGGAACACATCAGCCACTAACACTCACCTCTTCACTCCAGAGTCAACGCATCTCAACTCGCTTCTCACCTCGCAATCACCAGCGCCGCTCCTTCCTGTTCCACTTGCACCAGCGCGACTGCCAGATGTTCCGGTGCGATAAAGTTGTGACGATGCTTCCGCGATTCTTCCAGCGCCTTCTCAAACACCCGCTTGCTGCCGCTCGAAAACGGCACTTCCGACGCCGGCTTGCCGGCCGGCAGACCCCCCGCGACTGGCAGCCGGCCGTCTCGAATCAATTCGCCGACGGCGCCCCGCGCGCTGCGGATAGTCATCCCCAAGCCGAGATACCCGCCGGGTTTCCCGCCGCTCGCGAAATCCTCCGCGATTAGACCCAATAGAAGCTGCTCCGTCGCGACCTCTTTTCGCCCGAGCACCTTAGCTTCCGCTTGAGCCATCATCACGGCTTTAATCGCCCGCTCCGTGAAACGCTCGAAGACCGCTGTCACCACCGCACGCCGGCCACAAGTAGCGGCGTCGGCGGCGGCGCTCGCAGGGAGAGATGGAGCCTGAATATGACGGTCCGCAGCTTCGTGGAAGGCCGCGGAGTGAGAAAGAGAGGAGGAGGAGCGGTTGCTGGGGAGCTTCTGACGGTGCAGGCCGTCAAACGCGCCGTGAAGCACGGAGACAGCAGCATGGGAACGGCCCGCGGACGAGGTAAGGTGAGAATTGAGTTGACGCGGAAGGGGAGAGGAACGGGGTAGTGATGAACGGACGAAAGAGGAGGGAGCGATAATTGCAGAGGAAAGAGAGGACGGGGAGAAAATAGACGATGAAGGCGTCTGGCAACTCATGGCGTATATCGCGTGAGATCCCGTGGAGCCGAATAGTGGTATTCAATTTCGTCTGCAAAAACTATAGACTTCGGTTTCTGAAGGCGAGAAGGTCTCCTGACGGAGCCCTTGTTAGCCGTCTAGGAGATAGCGGTGAGCCCGTTGACCCTCTCGCGAGTGCTGCTCGCACAATAGCTGATTCTGACCTAACACGCAGAGAGACGAACACAGACTGTAGCTGGAATTACGGACGGATGAGGAACAGAGAGCTATGCTGCTCACTTAGTCAGCGAGTTTCACCAACTTCGAATACTACTCCATGCTACGTTTGGATGCCTTACGAAATGGCCCTCTGGGACAGAAACTGGTGTGGTGTTGGTGGAGAGAAGGAACATCATGAAGAAGCCAAGAAAAGTCTTCACATGCTGCCCGTCTTGTGTTCGCGTGCAATGGGTTGCGCTCTGCGAGAAAGCGCTTCAAGATTGCGAAACAGCGAGCTTCGCCACAGGGAGACTGGGTTCCAATAACAGTGGTTACCGGCTTAGTTTTCGAACTCTGGGCGAAACCGCAAGCTCTGTTCCATGCCAAGAATGGACCGAACAACAGAAATCAGCAAAATCTTGGCTCTGACTGCCCGAGCCGCCTCGGTTTCTCAACACCTTTCTGCCCTGTCATGCGAGCCTCTGCCGCATCCACGCGCTCAATTCCCCCGCACTGCGCCATGCTGCTTGCCTCTCTGGCAGACCCCTCCGCTGATTGCCCGAGCGCAGCAAGGAATGCGCGCCGCAATATGCCCATCTGAAGAAACGCCAGCTTTATTTTGTGACAAGTGACGTGGATCCGCATTCGCAGATCCAAAGGCAGACGGGGGCACGCTGCCAATGAGATCAACGCCGAAGTGAGGGAAGGAAGCTGATTTGCTAATAGCGTGGGCAGTTCCTTGGGAGCGTTTCATTGGGTTGAACGACGTGTGATTCTGGGTTACCGCGTCAGCCAAATCTTCCCTCTTGGCCCCTAAAGCTATCCTCGCTACCGTACTCGGTGTTTGTAGTAGATCAACCGTACATTCTGATGTGCCACTAACAAGTTTCAAAAGCATGCATAACATCCAAAATGTTCTTTTAAAAAGGATAACATACATAGCATGCCCCTGAACGCAGTGTGGTGAATGAAAGGCTTCCTTTCATCAATCAAGCGTCCAATCTACATCCATCTCATCCACCATCTTCAACTGACGCTTGCAAGGCAGCTTTTTCCCTCTATCTTGAGATGTCAGTGATATCCTACTCAGCCTTTCCAGGATGACAGCTTCCACATCTTTGATGTCCTCAGCACCCAATATCTTGGAGCACTCTTCTTGAAAATGTGGATTGCTGGAATCCGTCACTATAGCTGCAAGGCTGGTTGCCAGATCCGGCAAGCAATTGCCAACCTGAAAGACAAACTCATCATCCACTGATCCACTCAACCACAATATAGCGAGCATGGCATCCCTTGTTTACCTTTGCTTGATGTACAGATGAAAACTCTCCGGGAACCTGAGTCTTGAGCTGTTGCAACGATGCTATAACTGCATCCTTGACAAGCTTCAAAAGGATTTTCCGCGGAACAATTTCAGATTTTGCACTGCTTCATGGAAAGTTGGGTGCAACTTAGAAAGCAGAACACGACAATCCAGACAACCAAAAACAATACGTAGGGAAGAGGGAGTGATAAAGCAAGAGATCCGGGTAGATGGGAGCGAGACGCATACGATGAGATATGTTGGCTGTGCAGATGGAGACATATATTGAGGTGCTTCTCCATATAACTCTTCTCGGTGTGGAGAATACCGTAAAAACTGTGAATAGCAGCATCCGCAATGCTTATTCCGAAACCGCTCCAGAGCTTGCTTTCAGACAAGGCCACTACGAGACTGGATCCATCAAGAAGGGGCGACCAGTCTTTGAACACCTTCACCTGGAAGTAAAAAAACACTCGTTAATGCTTCAAAAAAGGGCGAAAGAGGATCATGGTCTGTAATCTAGTTTTCACTCACAGTGATTTCGTCCTTCGACCCTTCTTCGTACGAAGCAATGCAGTCCAAATTCCATGAGCGATGAGTCGCGCTACCTGATGCGATACATGGAGCAGCCTTTGTCTGCCCCTGCCCCGAGTCTGACCTAACATCACGTTCTAATAACGACGACTGGAGCACGCCTGTCTTGAACCTTTCTAATCTGCTGAGCTCAAAGGCTTCGTCATCTGGAGCATATGATAACTGTAGCAACCCAGGGGCGGCCTCTTTTGGTGCGGACGGTAAGTCATGGATCAATGTTAGAAACTCGTCGCAGAAATTTCCCAATGAAAGGCTGATAGCAGTCTGAAACGTGTCATGGGGGATTAGGTGGTAATTCATGCCACAAGCAAAGAAACAGCAAACAGATTCGGCGTGCCTGTGATTGAAGTACGGTCACCTGAACACAAAAAAGGTGTAATTTCAGTATTAATCATTGAGTTCGCTACTTGTGCCATAACAATGTGTACGCACCATCCCGATGAGCTCGTAGAGTCTCAACGCAGCATCCTCTACGACTCCATGAAAATCGAAAGAAACCTCAAAGCCAGAAAAGTAGGCTCCCTTTGGCTTCCGAATCGAGGGGAGTTGAGACCATGTCGGTTGACCTTCATCTGGAATGTCGACGACATACCTCTTGACGTCGGTGTCGTGAATTCCTGTGGCAATTACCCACATTGAATTTTCCATTGATGTAAACCAGAAAATGCCCACAACACACTTACCTGTGGTCATCAAAGCAACGGAGTCACCTGCGTAAAGGGGAAGTCGGGAAACTTGATGAGTTGTCTATCTCCCAAACGACAACTACATAAAGGTGCTTTGGTAGGCTACAGATGGCCAACAGATTCTTGTAGGGTTCTCACCCCATGCAATATGTGGGAAACCAAGTGCCCCAGCCGTCTGCTGGAAGGTAGTAGACGAAACTAGACGATTGATGAAGGTTGCGGGATTTTTGTCGGCCAGAGGCTCTCCAGTGTGATTTATCGCAAATGTTCCTTTTGAAGCCTCGACACTATCTTCTGAATTGACACCAGCAACTTTGGCTAGCGAGATAGTAATGCATCTGGAATCTGCTTCATCCGTAGATCCAGATTGACAGCACCTAATGGCTTCGACGACCAGAGCGTGAATTGATGCCATTCCGTCTAGCCTAGCAGGACAGACCTCCATCTTGCGATTTGACGAAGAATAAAAGCGAGCCCGGCAAGCCTTGGAAGCACAAGATGATCGTCGACTGGCTGGGATGAAGTGGGCTGGGCTTTGAGTACAAGATGATCGTTGTCGACGGCTGGGCTGGGATGAAGTGGGCTGGGCTTCAGTTCTGTGGATGTTCCCTTCCCTTGGGTACTTGGGCCTCAACTGCTCCACGAGGGCCCTGATGCTGCGCGACTTTGACGACGAAACCTTGAGAATTTGTGTTACGTAGACGATGCATTTAATGGAACTAGTACACGGTGCGTAATTCCTGAACACTAATTTTACAATGAAAATATTATCACCCAATCATCCACAGCTTCATTCTTGCATTCAGTTGCTAAATCTCCTCTCCATCGATATGGATAGACTCTGCGTAAGGAAAAAAAACACAGAACATAGTAGGTTGAGATTATGCACACACAAAAAAAATGTGAGCGGAATTTAGGTGGGGGGGAGTGATATTTGAGGTGAAACAAATGTGTAAACCAAGCACTCCATTCACCCCTGGTCTGTACGAAGTGCCGCATAAACCATCAACGCACCTTCACATTCCCTGATTGGTCGAAGTTAGCCCGTGAGACGATCGCCTGGTTGGAAGAAAACAGCCACCCAACCTCTACATGAAACAAGCTTTCTCCCGACAATTCATCCACCTTATGCACATGACTCCAAACTCCCTGAAAGGTCACAGCTGCAGCAGGGGAAGGGAAGGGGAGGAGGAAAATGAAACGAGAGAAAGAGGAAAGCATCGGGTGGTAGAATGGATGGGGTGCGAGGAAACTGCGGGAAGGAGGAACGGAGAAAACAGAGAGATTGGGCAAAGGGGAAGGGATAGAGACATAGAAAGAGAGGGGGTGGAAGGAGGGAGAGAGTGACGATGAAAAGTAAGGAGCAATCCAGCAAAGCGGGGACAACATCTCATCGCAAGAGTCTAACCCTTCCCTTAAACCTGAGTTCTTATAGCTTCCCTACCTCTGGCAGCAGCATGAGCGTCCCATCCTCCAAAGCAGAGGTTTCCATCTGCCTTGAGCACTCCGTTTGGATTGGTTCAGTCAACTCCAGAGCAACAAGTGATGATGAGATGGCTGGCTGCTGGGCATGAGGGTGGGGGGTTTAAGAAGGTTGAGAGGATTGAGAAACGGTGTATGAGTAAGCGACAGAGGCAAGAAAAAGGGAAGTAGGGAAATAGGAGAAGAAACAGGGCAAGACTATGTTTATCTCGCATACAAGTGACAACGGCTGAGGGGGGCCTGAGGGGAGTGAATTAATTTAGTTAGTGAGTGAATGCATTATTGACTGAATCAGGTCAGGGTTACCATCACTAGCAACAAGAGCCCGTAGTATTTGAGATGAACCTTACAGCTGTGGGCACTTGAGCTTCTCTCGCCGTCACCTCCCACCGCCCCTCAATCTCCTTCACCCTGCCTTCCCTCACTGCCTCACTCCCTTCCCCCTCCTCAATCATCTCCGAACTGAACAGTGCTGCTCCATCCGCCAGCTCAGCGCCGCCCGAAAACGGCTCCACCCACTTCTCCCTGTGCATTGCCAGGCTGGCAAGCCGAGGCACGGCCAACGCTCCTCCTCCTCTGTTTCCTCCTCTTCCTCCTGCTGCTGCAGTCTGTGGTGCGAATTCCTGCACAACGCGCACTCTCACTCTTCCCTTACCACTTGCAGCCTCCACCCCCTCCAAGGCCAAGCAATGCTCCACCTGAAACGGGCCTGCTGCCATGCTGCGAATCCCCCCGTCTGAATCACGCTCGTTAGAGTCACGGGCTGTGGAGTCAATGCCACGTGGCACCCACTGGGTGGCCCGCATGGCGTCCACGCTGGCAGGCGCGGGCATGGTGGAGGACTGGCCAGCTCGGACGAGCAGATAAGAGCCATCTTCCGTGAATGCAAACAACTCGCCGGCAGCAGCAGCAGCAGCTGCAGCAGGAGCAGCAGATAACTCCAAAACCGTCCTCTCTACGCTGTATTTAGGCGGAGACGCCGCCTCACACCCCGCAGCAGGCGCGTACCGCACGAACGAAGAAAGAATCTTAGCGTTTCCAAGGGTCTCCCCGCGAGCGACGCTGGAGGTCTGAGATTGCCACGCGTATTGAACCAACCCCCAGTCGCGGAACGCCTCGGGAACGACGGATTGCGGTAACTCCAAGGGCTGGCCGAAGCGCGAGAAGTCGACGGAGTACCCCGCCCACTCGCCGGAAAACGCGGCGGAAACTGCGGGCCAGGCGGAAACGGCGGGCGGGGTCTGCGCGTGTGCTTCGGGTGTGGTAGGAGGCTCTGCCACGGGTGGGGACTGAGCGTTTTCATGCGTTACGTTCGCTTGTGCTGCTGACACGTGGATGTAACGGGAAGCGCAGCGCTGACTGTGCGTAACGAATGGTGAGTATAGCGAGTGGTGATACATAGGAGCCACCATCGCTTGCCGCCATGAGCGACGGTGCCCAGGGGAGGTTCGCCGCGCAGTAACAGGAACCCCAAGCTGAGTAATTGGATTTACGCGACGCATTTCAGGTTGCTTCAATGGAGTTACATGAAGATATTGGGACGGCAAACCCGTCCCTCGCGGAACGCACCGGACGCATGACTGCATCGCGACACGGCTTACGCTTCAAGAAAACGCACCAGACACAAAAACCGAGGGCTTGATTGAGAGAGCGAAGCTACTAGATTCTCCGCTACGAGCAATTTCTGCTGTGAGTGAGACGAGCCTAGTCATCGGAGTCGATATGTTATTGACTACATCGCTTGTAGTCTAAAGTCCTGACACACTACAGATTCTGCTTTATTAAATGACAAAACAAGGATTAGAAGCAGAAGCACAGCAAGCCTGAAAAAATGCAACGTTGTTGCATATGCAAGCTCAGCTAAATCTGTCAAATCATCCTCTCCCTGTACATATTTATTTCTCGTATCAGCATTCGTCTTCTCTCTGAATCCGCACAAACTTTGCACTTCAGACCTTCACAACTCACATGCTTCTGCTGCAGTTGTTGCTCCTCCTGCACCTGCTGCTGCTGCTTCCACCCCGGGCTATTCAAGCTCAACTCACACAGCTCAGAGCCTCTAGATTCAGCTCCACGTACTCCAGGGATACTATGGGCAGGCAGTCCATGGGTACCATAGGCGGGCAGTCCATGGGTATTATAGGCGGGTAGTCCAGGGGTACCATGGGCAGGCAGTCCAGGGGTACCATGGGCAGGCAGTCCAGGGGTACCATGGGCAGGCAGTCCAGGGGTGTTATGGGCAGGCAGTCCAGGGGTGTTATGGGCAGGCAGTCCAGGGGTACCATGGGCAGGCAGTCCAGGGGTATTACGGGCAGGACTGGCATTTGAAGATTGTTCTCCTTGCATGAATCCGACACCCTGGCAGTGTGCTGCCAAGCCGAAATCATCACATGCAGGTAAGTTGAGGTCAGGGATGTCGACTCGTGTACAATGTGCCTTCTCAAAGCTAGCCCGTCCGTCCGATGGCTCGCATTCACTTTTCTCCATCAGCTCAATCGCACATTGTTCCACCCACATGGCCCTGTAATCACTGTGAGCTTCAGCTGAGCAGTCTGCTGCAGCGTCGGATGGAGGATTCTTGTCAGAGAGCACATTTATTCCCTCTCTCTCCTTGCTCCGGACGTAGTCGGCCCAGCTTAGTCGCATGTTGCGTTCTTCTGGGCCGCTGCTACCAGTGACAGCTCCTTGCATCATAGGACCTCCTTGCCACTGCTGCGTGATTGCTGTGTCCGCCACTTCAGCAGCGTTTCTTTCCAACTTGTTGCTGGATGCTGCAGGCATGGTCGCCATGGGTTCTGCTGCTGCTGCAGGAGTTGAAGCACACGCCCTGAAAATCATCCTGCGCTGACGACGAGTGTTGGTGCAGGCAGCACCGTCACTATGGCAGTCAGCATGATTGTCACCGCGCATCCGTTTCATCGTTGAGACTCTTGACACGAGGTCTCTTGAGGCGCGGCCTCTCACCAACTCCTTCGCCCAGGGACTACGCGGCGCCATAATCTCAAGAGTGCTGCACCTCGGTGGAACACAGCGTCTGCGACGTGGTAGGGTTGGGAAGGAGAAATGATATAGAATGCCAGCCACCTCGCCTAACAGTAATTCGGGAGTGGTTGAGACGCTCAAGTTTAGTAGTAGAGGCTCACAGATACGACGGGCGCTAGGTAGGAATGCTAACGAATGCAAAAACGACGGGGGTGAAAGTATCTCCTTTCTCAGCCGACGTATGAGTTTGAAGACCCAACCAGATTAGCCCGCAAGACCGCAAGTGCGGCGCCATCGTACATGTGGCCCACGCGTTATTCTTCGAGAAGCTACTATCTCGTTCAAACCATTCGATCAGATGCTATTGCATGACCATAGCAGATTTCGTTGGTGATGCGTCGTCCACTTGCTGGAGACGTAGGAATCAGCTGCTTGAGGATGACACGGAAGACACATCATGATGCCAGCTGGAGACACGTAACCATGCCACGTGATCTGCTCGTCCTATCGGCAGCATTCGTAGAAAAACACGAGAGGCTAACGTTGGTGGGAGATTGTGCAAGCACGCGCGCTCGAACCGTCACTCGAAATGAGAACTTCATCGTGGTATATCAACGATAGTATACCCACCTTCTATACTAGCTGATCGTCCATGTATAACAGCAAGCACCTTCGAAGATTCGTTGGCTCGTACACAGAAAAAGGCGGTGAATTTATCTTTCAGAGATACCCACATGCCGCGATAAGCTCGCCTTATCGGCAGCATTCGTAGAGAACAAGGTGAGGGGGTATGTGGTGGGAGATTGTGCAAGCGCGCGCGCGCTAGAGACGTCGATACAGAATGAGGACTTCATCGGGTAGATCAGTGATCGTACATGATATACCTCCATTATCACCCTCTTGTCGCTGATCGTACATGTGCAACAGCAAGCACCTTCGCTGATTCGTTGGTTCATGGCTACAGGGCGGTGAGCATTCTATCATCGAGAATTGAAAGCAGCCCCTAAACAGGTCACTTGGGCCAGCCAAAGGCTGGTGTGTGTGATCAATTGATAGCCATGGTCGTCGAGTCTTATGTGGATACAAGTCAGGGTGTGGTTTGGGTGGATCTGTTGGGTCTGTCGCGTTCCAAGGTACAGTAAAGACTTGGGATGTCGACCCACGTGATTCTCAACTGAAATCTAGTGCGGTGGATATGAACAGTCACCGCAAATCTAACAGATTTTCGGCGAAGGTGATCACAAATACAAGATTATGTCACATAACCCTGTTGGAAGCAAACTCAATCCCATATCTGTTATGTTAGAGACTTAAGGTCGCCTTTCTACGTACCGTATTACCCCGGATATAGGCGCATATGCGCCTATAATAAAATCATTTTTTTTAGGGGTGGCGCTTGTTATTGAATAACGGCCATAAGCGCCGGCGCTTATATCATGGCAAAAATGAATTTGTTATTTTTATGTACCAAATCGAAGCCCGCAATAAGGCGAACACAATTGAGTAACGTGCGCGTGGGATAATGCATGTAATCCCGCCGAAAACTGCTGCGCTTCGATTCCCGACCGCACAAATCCCGTCCAGGAGCAGCGCACCTGCCAGCGCTGACGTGAAAGTTGCCTTGCGGCCCAATCAGGCTTTCATGCGCTGGCAGGCAGCTGCATTTCACCCGAACCATCGAGAAGGGGCTGGAATGCCCTGCCAGCGCAGCATCTTCGTGCCGCGATAACCTCCTCTCCGGGTTCAGACAGGGGGTACCCGTCTCTCCACGACGAGGACCCCGAGGCGCTAACCAGAAGGGGTCCCTTTGAATCTCTCATTTGTTCTCCATCTCTCTCAGTTTCTCGTTCGGGTTCTTGGTAGTTCTCGCCTGGCTGCCGCCGCCATGGCGGAATTCAGCGGCACCCACTTCTTGTTCAAGAAAAAGCCTACGCAAAGGCCCGCGTTTAGAGTAGACGCTGACGGGTGGTACTCCCGTATCCCACCAGAACCACCAGAGCCACCACGGCCTCCTGCGCCTCCTGCGCCTCCTGCTCCTCCTTCGCCTCCTGCACCTCCTGCGCCTCCTGTTCTTCCTGCTCCTCCGCCTCTGGGTCCTGCGTCTCCGCAACTCACTGGCAATCAGCCCGTGCTCACGATACTGCTCCCATCAGCGTTCGACGAATACCTCTCCGAACCGGAGTCTAACAAGGCGCAAGATGAGTACGTGGAAGTGGAACACTTTCCTGGACGACGTTGGGGACAGCCCGACGATTGCCCTTGGGACGAATCTGCGGTCGGCGCCGACGATGATGTTGCTGACGCAGAGGAAGCGAGCGGCGCTGACGGCGCCGAGGGTGGCACGGAGGCTTCCGCCGGGGGCGGCGCCCAGGGCGGCACCGCTGACGATGTGTTTCCAGAAGGTGTTACGGGCGACGCTGACGACGACGGCGTTGAGTACTGGTCACGCGACGGGCTACCCCAGAAACTGCCCATACCAACCTATCCTCCGAATAATCGCAAGCGACCCCACCCCTCTTCACAGAACCGTGATGCCCGCCCCCCCTCTCCCAGGCACAAGCTCACCGACCACAAGCGGCAAGGTTACACCGCCGCGGAGAAGTTGAAGTGGGTTGCTCTGATGGACTTGGCGGTGTCGGTGCGCGCCTTGACTCGCGAGAGCGGAATCCAACGGAAGTGTCTCACCAACTGGAAGCGGGCGGCGGAATTCCTCAAGGATGTTCACTCCTCTCGGAAGCGCATGCACGGCCGCGGGCGAGCGTCGTGGTACCGGCCGATGGAGTTGAAGGTGTACGAGAAGCTACTCGAGTGGCGCCGCAAGGGAACCGCCGTGTCAGTCGGCCGCTTGCAGGAGTGGTCGCGGGAGTTCATGAAGCTTCTGTACCCGGACAAGAAGTGGAAAGGAAGCCAGAGGTGGTCGGAGCGCTTTCGGCGGCGATGGAATCTGAGCGTCCGCATGAAGACCCGGGTTGCCCAGAAAACCGCAGCGCGTGAGAATTACCCCGTTCAATTTGGCACGTTGGTTTTCTTTAATTGTACTAACGCCCTCCGTCTGTGTCCGACGTCTCTTCCACCGCCGTGCAGATGTCGCTGATCAGTGCAAGAGCTTCTGGCAGTTCGTGCGTGCCAAGCGTCGTGAGCGCGGCATCGACACCGCGTGGATCATCAACGCGGACCAGACGCCGCTCTGGCTGGAGATGCCCGCCACCACCACCGTGGAGGAAACGGGTGTTCGCTCGGTGCCTATCAGGAGCACGGGGTATCAGAAGCAGAGAGTGACCGTGATGTTGGCGTGCACGGCGGACGGAAGGAAGCTGATGCCGTGGGTGTTCTTCAAGCGCAAAACCTTGCCGAAGGGCGATTTCCCTGCCGGTAAGTAAAGAGGTGCACGGCTCGGTCACTGCGTTCTTTTCAGAGTTCGAATTCTAACCACCCGTGCGTGTTTCATGCAGATGTGGCCGTGGCTTGCCACGAGAACGGGTGGATGGACTCCCCTGGCGTCGTTCGCTGGCTTGAGGAGTGCGTGAAGCCGTTCCTGAAGCCTCGGTTCGGCAGACACGCCAAGAGCTCGATGCTGGTGCTGGATTCTTACCGCGGTCACCTCACCGAGGAGGTGAAGGAGAAGCTCCGCGAGATGAACTGCGTGCCGGCGATCATCCCGTCGGGCTGTACGGCGGAGGTACAGCCGCTCGATGTCTGCATCAACAAGAGCTTTAAGGCGTCGGTCCGCCAGCAGTACCAGAGGTGGTTTGAGGCAGAGGGGCAAGAGCAGCTGACGGCAGCAGGTATGGCATGAGTACAGTATCCCCCCCCCCCCCCCCCCCCCCCCCAAATTCTTTGTTGTTGCACTAACTGCTTTCCACCGTTCTCCCGTAATGTTTCAGGGAACCTGAAGAAGCCTTCACCAGAGGTCGTCCTGCGGTGGGTATCACAAGCCTGGAAGGCAGTGCCCGCCGACCTCATCAAGCATGCCTTCCTCACCTGTGGCATCAGCAACCAGCTTGACGGCAGTGAGGACGGACTCGCCATGGCGCACAGGCGGAGCCAGCTGACAGTTGAAGTGGATGTCGACGATGACATCATCGCTGATGGTTTTTTTGGCAACAACTGCCAGGAGCCCGAATCTGACGAGGAGGAGTAGGAGGGTTACTGTATGATCCATGTTACCGTAGGTAGAAGTACCCCGGCTAAACTTGTTAGGAGATCTAGCTTAATTTGATGTTGCTTAGAAAAAGTGACAATTTAGTAAATTCTTTTGTAATGCCTCCAATGAAAGGTTAAGGGATGCGCTTATAATAAGGATAGAATTTTCAGGGGGTGCGCTTATAATCGAGTTCCGGCC